TCCTTCAGCCCAGGGCGTGATCCTGGAGACCCGGGTTTGAGTCCCACATCAGGCTCCCTGCATGGAGCCTGCTTCTCCCTCTGCCTGTGTCTCTGCCTCTCTCTCTCTCTCCCCCTCTCTTTCTCTCTCATGAATAAATGAGAGCTAGGTGCTGCTCTTCTTATCCCTTACATGTTCTGAGTCTTTGCTTTGGTGGGAGAGTGAACATGAGGCTTTTGAAATCATACCACAGAAGGACCCATAGTTACCCCCACAATGTTAGTGTCCGGAGCTTTACTAGGATTTCTACTTACACTTACTTACTTATTTGTTTGCTTATTTTTTAAAAAAGTAATCTCCATACCCAATGTGGGGCTTGGACTTGTGACCCAGAGATCAAGAATCAGAAGTTCTATTGACTGAGCCAGCCAGGTGCTCCTCTACTTACATTTAATTTAGATAAATTTTTTTAAAAAAGATTTTATTTATTCATGAGAGGCAGAGACACAGGCAGAAGGAGAACCAGGCTCCATGTAGGAAGCCTGATGTGGGACTCGATCCTGGGAATCTGAGATCATGCCCTGAGCCAAAGGCAGAGCTCAGCTGCTGAGCCACCTGGGTGTCCCTAATTTAAATAAAATTAAGGGGCACTTGGCTAGCTCTGTCCGTAGAGCATGTGACTCTTGACCTTGGCATTGTGCGTTTGAGACCCATGTTGGCCATAGAGAGTACTTTAAAAAATGAATATGGGCATCCTGGGTGGCTCAGTGGTTTAGCACTGCCTTTGGCCCAGGGTGTGATCCTGGAGACCCGGGATTGAGTCCCATGTCGGGCTCCCTGTGTGGAGCCTGCTTCGCCCTCTGCCTGTGTCTCTGCCTCTCTCTCTCTCTCTCTCCCTCCCTCCCTCTCTCTGTGTGTGTCTCAGGAATAAATAAATAAAATCTTAAAAAAAAAAAAAGAATATGGGATCCCTGGATGGCGCAGCGGTTTGGCACCTGCCTTTGGCCCAGGGTGCGATCCTGGAGACCCGGGATCGAATCCCACGTCGGGCTCCCGGTGCATGGAGCCTGCTTCTCCCTCTGCCTGTGTCTCTGCCTCTCTCTCTCTCTCTGTGACTATCATAAATAAATAAAAAAAAATTAAAAAAAAAAGAATATAAAATTAAAAACTAGTCTCACTAGTCACATTTCAGTGAGTGATGGCTCCCCTACTGGACAGCTCAGGATAGAACATTCCATTGTTGAGGGACATTTTGTCCGGGGGCTGCTCTATTAGACAGCTGGCATTGGTTGTTTTTTTTTTCAAAGACCCCGTTTTATTTATTAAATATTTATTTATTTTTAGAGCATGAACAGGGGGAGGGGGAGAGAGAGTCTCGAACAGACTGTGCACTGAGCATGGACCCCAATGTGGGGCTCGATCTCATGACCCTAAGATCATGACTTGAGCTGAAATCAAGAGCAGAAGCTCAATGGACTGAGCCATCCAGGTGCCCCTCAAAGACCTCATTTTATTTTATTTTATTTTATTTTTTATTTTTTTTAATTTTTATTTATTTATGATAGTCACACACACACACACACACACACACACACAGAGAGAGAGAGAGAGAGAGAGAGAGAGAGGCAGAGACACAGGCAGAGGGAGAAGCAGGCTCCATGCACCGGGAGCCCAACGTGGGATTCGATCCCAGGTCTCCAGGATCGCGCCCTGGGCCAAAGGCAGGCGCCAAACCGATGCACCACCCAGGGATCCCCAAAGACCTCATTTTAAAATCCTTTCTCCCTTTGTCTTGTGATTTGTTTTTTTTTTTTTTTTTTAAGATTTTATTTATTTATTCATGATAGAGACAGAGAGAGAGAGAGGCAGAGACACAGGCAGAGGGAGAGAGGGAGAAGCTGGCTCCATGCAGGGAGCCCGATGTGGGATTCAATCCCAGGACTCCAGCATCACGCCCTGGGCCAAAGGCAGGCGCTAAACCGCTGAGCCACCCAGGGATCCCATGTTTTGTGATTTGTTAGTGTCCCCAGATGTTTGGGTGATGAGGACCTAGTGCATGGCATATCTTGGTCTTGGTTGGCTTTGAGGACTGGGGGGCCATCCACTGCCCTACACCCAGTCCTGGTTGGATCAGCCCCTCTCAGGATGTTCCTGCAAACAGAGCATTTGGGTCTGTCTTTCCTTGGCTGGAACGGGACACACTCTGTCCCCAGCACAGACACACTGCCTTGTGGGTATGGGCATTTCTTATCCTGGAAACTTTTCCTTTTATGAGCACCCACAACTATAGATCACCTTGTCATCAGTCTCCCAGAAGGTCAGCAGGCTGGCTGCAAGGTTACAGTGAGAAACCAGCCTTGAAGGGGTATCTGTGGGTCCTGCATGGGGATGGAGGTCTTGCCCACTGCCACGGCCCCACTGGGGGAATCTGTGTCTGCTGCTGGTAGGGCAGTGGCTCAGAGCAACCCACTATCCCAGGTCTGACGTGGGTTTTTTTTTTTTTTTTTAAATTTTTTTTTTTTTTATTTATTTATGACAGTCACACAGAGAGAGGGAGAGAGAGGCAGAGACACAGGCAGAGGGAGAAGCAGGCTCCATGCACCGGGAGCCCGACGTGGGATTCGATCCCGGGTCTCCAGGATCGCGCCCTGGGCCAAAGGCAGGCGCCAAACCGCTGCGCCACCCAGGGATCCCTGACATGGGGTTTATACAGGAGTGTCTACACAACACCTGGGCTCCAGGAGGCTCAGAGGGTCCAAAGGAGGGAGGAGACAGCACACAGCAGCTTCCTTGCAGTGGGGGCTGCGGCCTGGCCGGGCATGGGCCTGCCCCTGGTCTCAGGGCCTGGCTGCCCTCAGAGGAGGTCTGCGTCTCCACTGCCACCTGCCTGAAGTCCAACATTGGCCACGGAGACCCCTGAGAAGTAACCTTGCCTGCTGCTTGCTGGCCACCCTTGTGCGATGTCCTTTGTCTGTCAGATGGGAGGTGACCCAGAGATGGTGAAGCCTGGTGGGGGAGTGGAAGTACTTTCCTCACAAACCTTGTCCTTTGCCTTCCCCAGCCTTCAGGAGGCAGCGGGCTTTGGTTGCCTGTGGGCCTCTGCCCTCTCTCAGGCTTCCCCCCGAGCTGCAGTTTCCCACAGATGGGCCCAGATCTCCATCATCTGGCTGTGGCTCCTGCTCTGCCTTTTCCTTGTGCAGGCATTTCCACTGGCTTCTTCCATCTGTGCTGCTGGCTTTGGAGCTGCTCTGGCCAGCTGACTGGGGACACCCCCCACCCCATGGCAGCCAGAGCACGCTTTTTTTGTTTTTGTTTTTTTTACTCACTGCCCCATAGAGCAAGCTATTTAAAAGGATCAAGTGATACCTGTATATGTCGGAGATGGACAGAAATCCTTCGGAAGGCCATGGAAAAAGGAAGCTTCTGGCGCCTAAGCCCTGTTTTCCAGGGATAATCTTTGTGAACAACTTTCCTTGTGTTTTTTGGGGGATGGTCTTGGGTTTCTGGGTAACTTACCAGAGAAAAACCTCTACAAAACCTCCACGCATGTTGGGGTCTTCATCTCCACCTCTCCTTGGCTTCTGTGCTAGCATCTTGGGGCTGCCCTCACAGCCACTACAGCACAAGTGATTTCTCTAACAGTTCCAGAGACCAGAAGTTCTAGGTCCAGGTGTTAGCAGGGTTCTTTCTGGAGGCTCTGATGGGGGCCTGTGCCAGGTGTGTCCCCTGGCTTCTGGTGGTTTCTGGCAGTGCTTGGCATTCCTTGGCTTGTGGACATGTCACTCTGATCTCAGACATGTCGTCACATGGTGCTCTCCCTGTATGCTCCTGCACTGCTGTGCCTCTGGCCTTCATGTAAGGAACCGGCCGCTGGATTAGAGCTACCCTTGTTGAGCATGACCTTGTTCTAATGCGATTGCATCTGTAGACTGTTTCCAAGTAAAGTATATTTATGGGTGCCAGGGGTTAGGACTGTCAGGTATCTGTTGGGGTCGGGGGACACAGCTCCCACCAGCTCCCCTCTTCATTCTCCTGGTTCTTGGCCCTTCTCCTGGCAGCTTCTAGAATCCACTTGGCTTCCCCTAGCCCTCTGTTCTTCCACTGGCTCTCATTCTGGAGGGCTCCTGTGGCCCAGGGTCCTGCCACAAATCCAGGTATCTGCTGGTTCCACAGCCATGTTCCTAGCTGGTGCTTGACTGCCCCATCAGTTTTCCTCAGCACCTCCAGCTGTGTCCTACAACATCGCTCTGCCCTCCAAACTGCTCCATCTTCTAGGCTCTTCTGGGTGCACAGAAAGTTCTGGAAGGGTTTGGAATGTTGTCCTCCACTCTGTTTTTCTGGGCCCTGCTTATCCCTGGCTGGAGTGTCAGTGCAGACTCCACACCTTCCTGCCCAGTGGCCAGTATGGCTTTTGCCATCTCTTCCTGTCTTTCTAAAGCCGATCTGACCTTGGTGGATCTCGCCAGTCTCTTGTCTGCAGCTGAAGTCCTAGCTCTTCTTACTCTCTGCTTCCCGCCAGAGGACTGTGGATCTGCCCGGGATCACCTCACCCTTCCTACCTGGCTTGGGCACCTCTCCTGCCCCAACCTTCAGATTCCCTCCCTGTCCCTTGGCGTTTCTTCATTTATCACAGACAAGCAGTGGTGGGTGGCAGGGACTGTATCTAAATATGTCTCTCTGCCCCCCGCCCAGCAGGTTCTCATTTGAGGTGGTTGGGGTACTGAGTGGGCTCTGCAGCAGACGTGGTGGTCTCTAGGCTCTGAGCAGTGACGTGGCTGGGGTCTGTACAGGAGCTAGCCTACCAGGTTCCCCCCCCGCCCTGCCCCAACTCAGGATCTTCTGGGAAGACCCCAGCGTCTGAGTGCTCTCCCAGTGTTCCAGGGGACTGTGGTGTAGACCAGCGTGGGGACAACTGGTGGAGGCCCTCTCCAGCTGCCAAGGATGTGCCTGGGGGTGCCCTAGCCCAGGAGGCCCCTGCGCCTGGCCGCAACACGGGTCTCACTCTCCTCTCCCCCCCGCAGGCTGGAACAGCCCTATTTCAGCGCCAACGCCCAGTTCTTCCAGGCGCTCAGCCAGTGCTCCGCGCTGCAGCGCCTCTGCCTGGTCTCCCGCAGCGGCACGCTCCAGCCTGAGGCTGTGCTGGCTTTCATGGCCCGCTGCCTGCACGTTGTTGTGTGCCACATGTTCACCGGGGAGTCCCTGGCCACCTGCAAGAGCCTGCAGCAGTCCCTGCTCCGAAGGTGAGTAGCTGGGGGTGTGGTGAGGGTGGTGGCTGGCGACCTAGTGGCTGCTTCTCCCTCAGGCTTCCTGCAAAGCCCAGCAGCTAATATCATGGACTTAAAAAAATGCCTGCAGAGGTGGCCTGAGAACAAAGTCTAGCTTCCTGTCACTTTCACCTCAGTGCCTTGCCTCCTGGGCACTCCCTCTGCGACACGTTTAATGTCTACGTAGTTGAAGCTCTGAAGAAGAAAGCCCCATGTCCCCACGGTGCTGTTCTTTGGGTGAGGGGTAACAGTGCGCACTGCAGTCAGCCTGCAGGCACTCGTCTGTCCTCAGTGCCCTCCCTGGACCTTTTCTGTCCCCAGGATTTGATGCAGAACGCCTCATCATGTTAGTTGTCACCTCCCTGTAGCCTTCTTGGGTCTGTGACAGTCCTGTTTTTCCTGCTTTTTCATGACCTTGACACTTTTGAAGAGCACTGGCCAGGTATTTGGTAGAATGTCCATGAGTTTGGACCAGAAATCCACAGAGGTGACACCATGTCCTTAGTGTGCTGTGCCAGGCACACATGGTGTTGTCATGTCTTCTTACTGGTGTCTGCAGGCTTCTCAGATGTAAGGTCACATTCCCCTCCTTTTTTTTTGGGTAAGATTTTCTTTCTTTATTAGACACAGAGGGAAAGAGTGAGCGGGAGGGGGAGGAAGAGAATCTGAAGCCAACTCCCCACTGAGCACAGAACCTGACGTAGGGCTCCATCCCATGACTGTAAGATCATGAAACCAAGAGTTGGATGCCTGACTGACAGAGCCACCCAGGTGCCCCCATTACTCCCTTTCTAATTAACAAGCATCTTGAGAGTCTGCAATCTTGTTTTCTGTGAGAGTTTTGCCTACTGATTTTAGGGGTCCATGGATGGATCTTGCCAGTGATGATTATTAATTTGATGTTTGGCTAATGACAATTTTCAGTTTCCTTCATTCTTCCTAGATTTATTAATGGGAACTGTGCTGTGAGAAAAAGAATCTGTCCCTTCTCCACATTTGCTTATTTAGTATTTCTTTTTTTTTAATTTTTTTTAACTTTTATTTATTTATGATAGTCACAGAGAGAGAGAGAGAGGCAGAGACACAGGCAGAGGGAGAAGCAGGCTCCATGCACCGGGAGCCCGACGTGGGATTCGATCCCGGGTCTCCAGGATCGCGCCCTGGGCCAAAGGCAGGCGCCAAACCGCTGCGCCACCCAGGGATCCCCTTAGTATTTCTTTATAAGAGTACAGACTCATGGATATTTACTTATTCACGGGGTTTTCATCATGCTCACATTATTCATGTGGTTACACAGATTGGTCAGTTTTGGCCATGGGAGGTGTTCTTTCAGACTGGGTCCTATGCTCTTGCAACATACCCCTTCCTTTTTTGAGCACTTCTTACTTTCTGTCACTAGCAGACATTCCAGGCCCAGCCCTGGAATAAATTATTTCTTCATGGAGCCTGGCTCCTTTTATTGGAGGGTGGAATTAGAAACCAAGGTTGGATGCTGGGTGTGCTCACTGCTGCTGGGGTGTCCTTGCCTCCAGGCCACCTCATGAACAGAGTAGGAAATTCATGTGTGTGAATACACGCACACACACACACACACACACACACACACACACTCACCCCCATACACATACCTGTGTTTCGATATCACCCATTGACATCTATGTTACAAACGAGTTCATACTGATGCCCTCTCATCCCCAGCTCATATCCCAGGTTTCCTGCAGACACCCTCTCCTTCTTCATGACGTCCCTCCCTGTTGGCTCTTGCCATCCACAGTGTGTTTGCTGGTTCATTCCATCCTAGTGTGCACACCTAAGTCAGTTTTAGAATCTCCAGCTCACTGCCTGGAGGATAATATGTGTTCACACTCTTGTCTGATCCTCATGGTACCCTGTCTTCCAGAGTTACTCAGAATTGCTTTTTGCTTCCCATCCCCTTCAGTGTGGTCATGTTGCTCATTTGTAATGCAGTCAGGCTTCCTTTATTCCTGCATTATAACACATTTTGCAGTTGCACTACATCCTGGTAGATTTTATTTGTCTGGTGTTTTGGTACGTGAAGCCTCACAGTGGCTCTCAGGGTCAGAGCTCTATCAAACGGTGTGCTTGGAGAAGTGCCATCCACTCCTCCCTGCCTCTACCTCGAGACCACCCTCCCTCAGACAACTGGTCTCATCACTTCTTGGTTATTCTTTCCATATTTTTTGCACAAATAAACAGTATTTTCTCCTATCCCCTTCTTTCTTATATGTGCTTTTACTTTTTTGCATGATAATACGTAGGAATTTCGTTCCTACAGGTCTTACTCATTCTTTTTACAGCCTTGCATTCTTTTTCCATGGTGGTAAAATACACATAACACAATTCCCATTTTAACTGGTTCTAAGTGTGCAGTACAGGCAGTGAGCACATGCCCACTGTTGTGCAGCCCCCCGCCCTCTACCCACAGGCTTCGTTTTCCCAAATGGAGGTTCTGCTGCATTAGCACTGACCACCCAGCCCCTGCCCAGCCCCTGCCCAACCCCTGGCGCCCACCATCGACGTGCAACCTCAGGTCTGGCTTTTTCTGCATTCCCTTAGAAGTTTATTTTAAGAAGCCTAAAAAAAAAAAAGAAATAAAAGATTATGATGTATTTTTTTTTAATTTTTTGTTTTTATTTATGATAGTCACACACACAGAGAGAGAGAGAGAGAGAGAGAGAGAGAGAGAGAGGCAGAGACATAGGCAGAGGGAGAAGCAGGCCCCATGCACCGGGAGCCCGGCGTGGGATTCGATCCCGGGTCTCCAGGATCACGCCCTGGGCCAAAGGCAGGCACCCAAACCGCTGGGCCACCCAGGGATCCCAAGATTATGATGTATTGATTAAAGGGAAGCTGCTCTGACTTGCTGAATCCTCCAGTATGAGTTTGCTTTTCAAATCCCCGAAATACATCCCCAGGGGGCTTTGTTTCTGGGCATTTGTCACGTCCACAGATGTCTAATACTGTGCATGGCTCTGTGGCATGTGCTTTTTTTTTTTTTTTCTTCAACCTGTGCTTTTCATCTGACATGGTTTTGAGATTTGTTGTTGCTATTCACTGGGGCCACTTCATTCCTGCTGAGGGCTGTGTGCCAGTCCTTCAGATGGATTTGTTACATTTTGTATTTCTGTTGTGCTGATGGGTATCCGGTTTGTTTCCCATGTTTCCTCTATCCTCATGAACATCCTCATATAGGTTTCCCCATGTGCAGATACACAGATTCCTAGAAGTGAACGCATTCACTCAGTGTGTATTCAAGAAGATGCCAAAATGCTCTCCAAAGCAATTCTCCCAAGACCCGCTTCCCCTAGCAGGGTGTGAGAGTTCCTGCCCCATGTCCTTGTCCCAATCCTTGATATTGTTGGACTTTCACATTTTCCTGGTCTCCTGGCTGAGGATGGCCCTCCTGTGGCCCACACTTGGGTCTTGTTTGTTCCCACTGAGCATTGTCTGGTGAGTTTATCACCAGGCCATATCCTTGTCTGTGATTGGCTCTGCAGATCCCTTACTTTTCTGTTGGTTTTCTTTGGGGAGGGGAAGAGGAAGGCTCGGGACCAGTGTGCCTTCGCTGAATGCTCATTGGTGTGCTCAGTGGTGAGAGTCTGGGCTGATGCTCCTAGTCAGTGGGCACACCATATCAGCTATCCTGAAGCTATTTCTTTTCCTCCTGGTTTTTCCTGCCTGTTGTGTTCACCATTGCTTCAGATTGCTATCATGAGTTTAATACCTCCTCCACTGCCCCTGTAAACCCAAAGCTTCCTTTAAACCTGCCACGTGTCCTTTACCCTGTTTTAAGAACTCAGATATCAAAGCTGGTTGGTTTGTGTGCAAAATACAGCCAAATGGGCTTTGAGTGATGGCTCTGAGGAACTGCCTCAGGGACTGCCACGTGTCAACCTGAGTGCTTCACTTATCTGCTAAAGGCTCATAGACTTTTGCAAACCCAGATCGCACTTGGGGGTTGTGTTAACTAAACAAGTGGCCAAATACACCTTTGGCCAGGTAAGCACTTATTGTCCCCTCCAACAGGAAATGGTGTGCTTGGGTCAGCCTGAGGTTTGTGGGAGGTGGTGTTCATAGGCTCCCCATTGGTGAAACACTCCAGATGCCATGGCTTGTGTGGACTGTGTGGCCTGTGTGCACCTCTGCAGCACCCCACGGATCCTCCCACTCCTCGAGACTGTGTGACAGTGGTGAGTATCAAATGCAGACTCTTGGGATTCCTGAGCTTCCAGCTCACACTGGGGAAGCCAGGCAAGGGGTGGTTTTGAAGGCTTAAATGATCAATATCAGATTACTCAACTCTGTCTTAGCTTGACCTAAGGCAGCTTATCAGGCGGGAACCATCATGCAGGTTGATGGGCAGTGGGCCTTCTCTGCAGCCTGCGTGAGAAGAGATCTTCTAGATTGGCGTTCTCTACCTTCCTCCCCTGGGCTGAAGCTCTTTGAGGTGCAAAGATGTTTCTTTCTTTTTCTTTTCCTTTTTTTTTTTTTTTAAATAAGAGGAAAAAAATTTTTTTTAATCTATTTATCTGACAGAGCACTTGAGCACAAGAAGGGGGAGGGGCAGAGGGAGAGGGAGAAGCAGGCTCCATGCAGGGAGCCCGATGCAGGACTCGATCCTGGGTCTCCAGGATCATGCTCTGGGCCGAAGGTGGCACTAAACCGCTGAGCCATCCGGGCTGCCCAGTTTTGACCATTTTAAAGTATAGAGGCATACCTGACTCTGTTGTACTTTATTCTTAGATGCTGTGTTTTTTTTTTACAAATTGAAGGTTTGTGACAACCTTGCATCAAGTTTAGTGTCCTTTTTCCAATGGCTTTGCTATGTGTCTCTGTGTCACATTTTGGCAGTTCTTGCAACATTTCAAACTTTTTCATTGTTATGTTTCTTCTGGTGACCCATGATCAGTAGTTACGACTCTGTGGAAACTCACTTAGTGGTTAGCATTTTTTAG